CCTTCCTCCCAACCACCATTCCACCCCTTGGACACGTAATTTCCAGGCTTAAAAATACAGTTGCAGCCTTGCTGCCCTTGAATCATTTGTTCACTTTTAAAATCTTAATTCCTGCACCAATTTGAGTGGCGTGGGCGCTTTCCTTGGATTCCTGAGACTTGGGGAGTGTGCTTAATACACTGTATTGTTTTCTTTGTGGCAGTATCAGGGCAGCTTTGTTGAAGAGGAAAACCACATTGGCAGCTAACTGGTTGTACTTGAGCAGTTGGGGTACCTTGTTTCAGTTAGCACAGCAAGACCTTGCAGTTCTGGGGAAAGAGGAGCTTCAGCCAAAACTTAGAGCCCTCGCTCAACAAGTATCTTGGGTTTTGTCTCTCCAAAACCCAATCTTTCTGGTGAATTTGGCTAAATTCACAAGCACGTAAGTACCTGTGAGGTAGTATGTTGAGTTTCATGTTTGCATATGGGAGATGCCAGATCTGCTTGTTACGTTCCAGTTGAGTGCCTGCGTGTTCCTGAAAGCTGTTTGGTTTTGAGAGGGTCAGGGCTGGTGTGCAACAATTCCCAAGGGTGCAAAAGCTGTACTTAGAAATATTCACCAGGTCCGGGGTTGAAAATGGTGGGAAAGCTCCTCTGTGAGCTGTTATAGCTAAAACTTGAGAGCTGTGGGTCTTCAGCAGTGCCTCTTCTCCATTTCCATGGGAACAGATGGGCTTATGTTGATAAGAGATTTGGTATCAAACTAGGAAACTGACGGGCAGCAGTTGAGCTACTGTTACTCTAAAACAGGGCTGGCTACAGGCTGGGGACATCACATGGTAGTATGTGTTTGAGTGTAGGGGCTAAAAATATCCTTCCTCCTTCCTCCTCTCAGGCACAGATGCCCCAGTGTGAAAGGAAGAGTCACTCCGGCATAGACTTGATTAGGCCTGTAGCAGACTGCGAAGGAATGCTTTATGTTTTGACCTATGCAAAGAGCAGCAGAGTTTAACAGTTGTAGAGATAAATAAGTGTTCGTGCCTTTTCAGTTTTTTTCAGGTTGTGAAGCGTGTCTCAGTTTACAACAGTTAATCTTTAAGTTTCATTTTGTTGCTTAATTTATCTGTGTTTATTGGTACTTGGGGAAATTTTCAAAGCAAAATCCAGTGATATATGCAGTACTTAAATTTTACAGATTTAAGTTTTGGGAAAATCTTAAGTTCAGTTATGAATCTTTATTTTTCTTAGAGGCATAGGACTGGCTTTTAAGTATTCAGCTGATAAATTTTAATCTCTGTTATCAGGAAAATCTCTTGGAGGCCCGTTGGGGGTCTGAGAGATGGATTTACTGGATGCTTTTCTTAAAATGTTCTGCAACAAAATGATTTAATTACATGAAGTCTGTTCTTTCATTTCAGTGCATTTATGATTTAAAAGAGAAGAGGGCAATGTCAGATGTAAACATCCAGGCTAGATACCCCTGTGCAGAGATTTCTTGTGTGGGTTCCCAATTTACTACTTTGTTGTGTGCCAGTAATGGATGTTCATGGTGTAAGTTTGGTTTTTTGAAAGCTAAAATTTTACATGCGGTTGTCATAATAATGGCTACATAACTTCACAGCAGCCACCAGAATTCCAGCCTTGTGCGTGTGACTGCAAAGCTCTCCTGAATTTAAGGTATTTCAATACAAGTCATTTTTGCTTGACTAAGCACTGGGAGCAGATCCAGCAGTGTCTAAAGACTCAAAAACATGATGTTGTAGGTCTCCGTGTTGTGAAGGTGTCTCCTCTTGAAATGATACCTGAACATGGAGCTTTGTAAAGAAAACAGCGAGTTCTGGAAGAGTTCATACTGAAAGACCAGGAAAGGGGAAAACGGGTGCTTACAGGGTGACTGTGCACATAAGCTCTTCAGGTATCTACGGTGTAGGGCATAGGTAGTGTGGCTGTCTGCCAGGGCATGAATGGAGCTGTGGCAGCCACTAAAATGCTCCTGGAAGGGACAACCAGCTACAGATTCGTCAGTCTGGGTGTGAAGCAGGAAAAAGTCCTTGGAGCAAACAAAGCCACTGGCGGGGGAGCTGTGGAGGATTCATTATTACAGCAGCAGTCCCCTGAACAGGCTGTACATGCGTATATGTAGGCAGTTCACCTTACTACGCCTTTTATCCAGCAATTTTTTTTTTCCTGTCACAAAGCTTGGTGCCTCAGCAATGCTCCCTCACTGGCGTTTGGCTTCAGGCCAAGCTTTAATGAGTACCCCAAGCCCTGTGTGATTTAGCTCCTCCAAATCTATTAGCATATCTTCAGAGCAAGATAAAACTCATTAAAATCACTTACATTTGGGCATGATAATTTTCAGTACCCACTGCCAAAAGCACAAATATGTGGTAATGTCCTTCATATGAAGCTACAATTTCCCCGTTTTTAATTCTTGGAATAAGAACAGACTGCCATATCCCTTAACTGTTCTCTGATGGTAATGAATTGGGTTTGTAGGACACCATCTTATCAAATCTTTGATCTGTGCTACATTTGATAAAGGAATGTGTACTTTCCATAAGATGTGGCTTATTAGAAACGACAAAAATAAGTGTCATGTTTGTGTTCTGTTGTATGATGATGCTAGTGATAACAGTGAGGTATGTAACAGCCAAGTGTCCTGGCCATTTGAGCTACATACCAAAATCTTTGCAGGACTGAGTTAGAGATGTGGGCCTCTGCCTGTGCCCTCTGTCTCCCGAGTTGCTATGCAAGCCACGTTTTTACGTAACTGTTCATCTCCATCTCCCCTGCTCAGTATCCCAGAGCTGCCTGCTGCTGTCAGCTATCTCTGTTTCATATCCTGGAATCGCATCGCTTTCTGCACAGAACGCTGCCTCGCGGTCAGTACAGTGGTGGAAAGATGTGCACCGTTTTCTTGCTGGAAGGCAATTCAGCAGACATCAGCTGATCTGCATCAATTCTCCATGTGCAAGCTTTTACCTCAGAGCCTGCAACAGAGCCACACTTGAACTGCTCATGACCTGTGGTCAGGTTATCCTTGCTAAATGACTGAACTGTAGTGCATGCTGAAACAATGCTTGTAAATAAATAAATGGAAGCTCACAGTAGTAGCTGTCCAAAAGATCGCTTGAATACTTTTATCCCTGTAGAAGTACTTAGGATCTTTTACGTATTGAAGTCTCTTCAACTGAAAATACCCTGCACTGGGTCATAAAGGTGCATGTCTTTGCCCACCTGAAGTTCTCCAGATGTGGCCCTGCTACTGCCCCAGGGGAAGTGCTGGCACCTGGGGGTGTACATCCTACCATCAGCTGGTTGGGAGTTCAGGAACAGCCAGGTCACCGCTACCCACTGTAATTCACTGAGGAGATTCAGGCCTGGTTCTCTTCTTGCTTCACTGGATTTAATTTCAGTACGTGTCGAGGTGTTTCTCCTTTACAAGTAGAAGTCAGCAATAGGGCAGATCAGGGTGTTTGATCTGTCACGTGGTTTTGAAAGGCAGCAAAAATTGGTCTTTAGAGTTTAATCTTCTGAAGCACTCCCATAGGCTGGAAGAATTTTAAGGCCTGCACTTGCAAATTCTTGTCTGCTTTTTCTTTTTATTTCCTCTTATCACCCTTCCAAAAAAGAGAAACTTAGTGAGATAGCAAAAACCAGAAGTCAGATGTAGCAGTAATTGCTTCTGAAGAATTTGTTTGGTGGATATCTTCACCAAGAGTCTGTGTACGTAGCGAACGATCTCTGGATCTGTATTCATGTTGTCTCTCTTTGCATTTCCTCATTTTCCTGCATTCAGGCAACGCTAATCATGTGATACTTCTGTGACTTAAGGCTTTAAGTATATCTTTTTTTAAAACTCAGACCCAGCTTTTTGTTGGCCATTGTCACAAAGTTCAAGAACTTCAGAAAGCTGAGAAAGAATGGAAGTGCTGGGGAAAAAGTGTTGCTGTGGTGCTTAATTTTAAAAGGGAGGCAGGTTCTGTGCGATGCTTACTCCAAAACCATATAAAACCTTTCTGAGGAGGGGTAGTTTCAAACTGTAGCATGGCTGTACTCTCAGGACATAATAGTCTTTATTCGAGAGACCACTTTTCAGTCAGAGTACCAGGCTTGCCTATCACACTGTACCAGGTGACAGAAATTCAGTGAAAAATGACCAAAGTTTTTAGAGCTAGCATGCTTTGAAGTATTGGTTTTGAGTTTTGTGAAGCTACCTATTCATGTGGCTCCTCTTGTGACTCCTGATCTTTCATTCATTACAGAATAAAGTTACAGTAAGAAAAGCAATTCTAATAAAAATAAAAGAAGAAACTTTGTTCATCAACATTTGCTGTTTTATGTGTTTAACTTGCTTTATTAACATAAAATGCTCAACTGGCAGCTCGCTGTTTTGCGGTCTGATTTTACCTGGTTTTAACTTGTATCAGCAAAACCAGATGAAGCTGCCAGTTGGGCAGCTGGGCCTGTGCTAATGTTGTCGTGAGGGAGCGTTTTTGTAAAATTCTCTGTAATAGAGATGTTGCCTAGAATCTTTTAACATATCTGGTGTGTAACCAGTGCAAGTGTAGAAAGGCTGGATGAACTCACGTTTGTGCTGAAAGCATTTGGTTTGTCAACTGAATTCAGGAAAAAGTGATCATTGGAATTGATAAAGAATCAGAATTTCTTGGCTTGCAGATTTTGGACTGAATGTTTTTGTGATGACGGCCAACAACCTTTGGCACAGATCTCGGTCTAGTTATATTGTTAAAAGTACCCGTGGACTTACAGTGACATTCTTAAAGCACAGGATTTTGGCACTAAAATCCTTCGGCTTTGAGTTACTCATCCAGCTTTTTCTTCACCACAGTTCTGAACGCTCATGAGATGCAGTGGAGCAGGATGAGTAGCACCTTTTTTTATAGGCTGATCTTACAGGAGCAGTCTTTGAAACAACAATGTGAAGAATAAGCTAGCGCCTTTATCAGTTTTACTTGAAGTGTGGTTAAGCTTATCTTTTTGTTTGCTTCCTTCAGGTTTTGAACGAAGAATGCGATCAGAATTGGTACAAGGCAGAACTCAATGGCAAAGACGGCTTCATTCCCAAGAACTACATAGAAATGAAACCACATCCGTAAGTAGAGCTTTGGTGATAAGGTTCCCTTGATCTTTTGCACATTGTCTCAAAGGTTTTCTGCTGAATACTTTGCAGCGTGTACCTTACCAGATCTGCCAAAATGTGTGAAGAGATTAAGGATGGCTACTGGGCTGTATCTCTGGCTGTAGTGTTTACTGTAATCCATTTCACAGCTAGCTGTATATCAGGTTATTTTTGGAAGCTTTTCTTTTGGTGGCTCTGGCTTTGCTGTAGGATCAGACTGACCTTGGGGGTAGCAGGCGTAAACCAGCAGAAAACTCTTTAATAGTTGTCACCACCACTGCCCCAGGAAAAAGATGTTCTTGTGATGATTCTCTATTTTACCTAGCATAGCAGACTGAGTAAAAGTTGTGGCATTCAGAGCTCACCAGAAGAATATTTAAGGATATTTGGAGTGGAATCCTATGTCACATCCTGAGTATAGAATCACAGAATTGTTTAGGTCGGACAGGACCTCTGGTCCAACACCTTCCTCACAAAACAGGCCACCCTGAAAGAGTGCGTGCTGTTACACAAGTATAGTTGCATTGATTTTTGTGGCTCCAGAGAACTGCATTTGACTAACTACCCTAAATATTTGTTCTTGGATACAAAGAAGCTAGCATATGAAAGCAGTAGCATTTCATGGCTGGGTGTTTTTTTCTAAGGGCTCTTTTGAAATAGCAGGAAGAAGCTTCTGAGGGACGGTGTCCCAAGTAGGAGAGGAGGTATGCTGCTTTAGTGCAGCCAAGTGGGAAGTGAGGCAAGGATGCACAAGAAGACTGTGAAATTACTTAAAGCCCTGTCTGCTGCAGTAACGTATCTGGTTTACCTTGATCGTGCTAGTCCACTGGGGGTCACAAATGTACATTGCAGTTTCTCTCGTTGGTTTGAATCATCATGCGTTTCCTCATAAGTTTTGCAGGCCTTTGACTTAACGCTGTGCTGATGTGTCCTGTGATGATGATGATGATGGGTTTGTTCTGTAATAATCCACAGTGTTTTGTTTGGGACAGAGCTGTCAGGTTTTTTTCTTTTTGTTATCAAAAGACAGTGTGCAACATCTGAGCCTGCAAGTGGGTGAATTTGGTAGTGGATTTTAAACATAGTTAATTTGACCTTTTCTCAAGATGTTTAAACTGCTGATGGCAGCTGGATGGAGTTGGCTCCATGTGTCAGCAATGCTGGGAGTCTTAACTAGTGCATTAACAACCCTGGGAAATTATGCAAAGGCTTTTATAGCCGAATGTTAGCTTAGCTGTAATGCAGAGCTCTCCAGGTAGTCATTCAAAAAGCAAATTGCAGGCAGCCTACCAGGTGTGAGAATGTTCCTTTTCTCAGACTAGTATCAAATCGTGTTGTGGGAAAGTGTCACAAGAGCTTTTCAAGAGGGTTTGGAAAGAAAGCAACTGAAAATGGCTTTAAATCCTGTCCTAGGATCTGAGACTTAAGACTAGCTATGGGGCTGGAGGATTTAAATGCAGTGGTTTTTCTTGCTTGTATTTTGCAAATCTTCTAGTTTGCTTTATAGCTACTAGCAAACGAAGCTGAAAGGAAAATGTGGTGTCTCTGGGTCACCAGCTGAATCACGTGGGTTCTGAAGGGTTAATCTGAATTGCCACATCAATTAACAAAGCAAAGATGTAAGTAGATGCTCTGAAGAGCTGCAGGAAACTGGGCAGGGAGGCTTCCTGTGAAGGCACAGCAGTGCAGTGGCAGGGCTACCTTTCACAGGGGGGGCAGGGGGAGAATTGGCTGTTTATGAACCGGCCTGGGTCAGACTCAGGGAATGTGGATCAAGTGTTTGTGTTCGTAATCAGCTTCTCTTGATACTGCTGAAGTCTCACTTTGCAGTATTGTAACTTAGGTGGAGGAAATCGGCCAAGCTTAAATGGTTGTGTGAATTAAAGCCAAAAGAACTGCCAAACTGCTGATGGAAACGAGTCTGAACGCGATGTGAACTTTGTGTTGTGCCAGTCCCCGCATCTCCCTCTAGCTGTGCAGCATCAGTAGGAATGCCTGGGTTTGGTTTAGCAGTGCTGACTGCCCGCGTTTCACCTGCGTTACAGGGCTACTGGGAGACACGCGTTATCAAGCTCAGCCGTGGGAATGTTGTGGACAGTTTCTTCGGCATAATTCTCTTGGACATGCTGTGATTTTTTTATTTGTTCGTTTTTTCAGTCATTCTGTAGCAAAGATTCCTACGTGCACAACACTTCTGATGCTTTACGAGTGTGTTCTGAAGTAGACACTAGTCCTTACAAATAACTAACTTTTCATCTATTGGGTTTTCTCTATGTTTTTTATATTTAGAATTCAAGCTCCTTTCATTCTGAATTGCTAAAAATGGTAGTGGAGTCATAAATATGCAAGAGTTCAAGAATTGTGAAAGATTTTTAGTCTTTCTGTTTAAAGTGTCTTAAAAACAGCAGATAAAAAGCTTTAAGAATTTGTTACTGCTACTTTAATCAAATGGTACACTTTGTAACAATTCAGTAAAATTCAGGGGGAAAACAGGTTATACTTTTGAGGCTTCTGGAAGGATTATAGACGTTCTGCTGAGCTCTTTCAGGCTTTCCTTCTATTTTACAGATGAGTGAGGTATTTTGTTTGTGTTTTTTTAAGATGAGGTTTTAATTTCCCTCACGTTTGAGTAATTGAGAATTATTTGAGAACTAAACAGAATTAAACCACTTTGCAAACAGGAGCTATGGCAAAATATGTAAATTCATAATACAAAGCTTGCTTTATGTAACATTTGGCAGAGGCAAAATTCAAGACTTCCCTCTTTTTCAGACAAGGCTGCCAAAAGCCCAGGAAATGAAATATTACCTTTGACTTCTGACGGAGCTTTACATAATAGTTTCTCTTGGTTGGTTTTTTGAAGGCAGCAGAGTGCAGTGAGAGACAGGTAGATGTTCCCACTGCTGTCTCTGCCACCACCTCGAGTTCTGAGCAGCAGTCCAGATGTTAAACCACCAGTACTAAATGCCATGAAATTCTTTATTACTGGAAATAGGATGGTTGTGGTAGAAAGCTTTTCTTCTTCCATCCCAGGGGGGATTAAGTAGTACACAACAAGACTTGCAGGCGAGTAACATGCACGTAGGTGATCATGGAAACCGAGTTCATAAACAAGATATATAATTTCTAGTGCCAAAATGCTTTTCATGGAGTAAATACTCCTTTTACAAGGGGCATGTCCTAGAGTTGTTTTATTGAATGTGTTGCATATAGTAGAAATACATCTGTGAGCTCATCATCTTTGATACAATACAGGGTTGTGGGGTGTGTGTATGGTGAGCAGCTACTGAAGACAGTCAGTGAGAGGAGCAAGGGCTGCTAGTAGCTGGTAATCAAGTCATCTGCTCCTCTTCCACCTCTAGACATAGCTGCTTCTTAGAGAGGGAGAGCTGGTGACTTTGTGATTTCATGAAAGCTTCGGTTTCTCTTAAGACCAGCTCTGTTTCAGGGAGGGTTCTGCAATTTCTGTCTCTTTGCTGCACCAAAACCTTCACTCTAGAAAGTGGGTTTTGTGAGTGGAGCTCTTGTTATTAAATGCTCTCCTCTAAGGTCAGTTATCTCCGTGGTTATAGGCTGTGTTGAGTGCTTCTATCCTGTGTGATCTGTTACTCAGAACTGAAAGCTGTACTTTTTGATTGTTTATCATAGAATCATTTAGGTTGGAAAAGAGCATTAAGATCATCGAGTCCAACCATTAATGCAGCACTGCCAAGTCCATCACTGAACCATGTCCCTAAGTGCCACATCCACATGCCTCTTAAATGTGTCATCCCCGGGGATGGTGACTCAATCACCTCCCTGGGCAGCCCATTCCAATGCCTGACAGCCCTTTCCACGCAGAATTTTTTCCTAATATCTAATCTAAACCTCCCCTGGTGCAACTTGAGGCCATTTCCTCATGTCCTGCTTTGGAGAAGAGACTGACCCCCACCTTACTACACCCTCCTTTCAGGTAGT